TGCTAATAAGTCTATCACTCCAAAATAAATACCACTACTATAAATAAGTTTACGATTGCGCGAACCATCAATTAATCTACCGGTCACAAAATTAACTCTACCACTACTAGAAATAAGTTTACCGATCACAAAATTAACTCTACCACTACTACAAATAAGTATACCACATATTATAAATCTATCACTACTACAAATAAGTCTACGATTGCGAACCATCAATAAGTCTATCAACCACTTAATAAATCTGCCAATCGCAAATAAATCTATCATCACATGAACGGTAGACTTATTCGCTTTTGGCAAGAAAATTTTGATACCTCATTAATGGCAGTTTCGTAAATACGTTTTTTTCTTCAAATAAAATAAGGCTAAAACGGGTATAATAAATTTTTGAAGGTTGTTTGAGTAATTATGAAAGATTAGCATCATTTTGGTCAAAAAACTATTTTTCAAGGTTGTTTTAGTAAACTTCCCGAAAAAAAATTACTCTTTCAAATTTATATTTTCACTATAAAATTTAATTGATGGACATTTCTTAAAATTAATCGAACAGTTGTAAGGCAAGACTCATTCATGTTTTCTTCATAAAACAATTGTCCCCCCTCTAAACGGAAATCTAAATAAAAGATTCAAGGATGCAACTTTCGTAGGCACTAGAACTCGCTCTACTAACTATTGGTTAACTAACATCTTCCACTAATATTACATAGAATACTTCTATGCATAGTTGCTAGTGTCTCTTTATTAATATAGATCTATCGACATCGGATCTTTTTTACGTTCGAAAATTTTTTGTCAACAATCTTTCTTCCTTGAATTTACACTAGATTTTAAATTGATTTGGTAACCAAGCTAGCTATTGTCAAAGAATAATTAATAGTCGTTCACTTCTTGTTTGTATCCAAGATTTTTCTTTTCTGTTTCACAAAATTCCATATTCATATATAATAGACTTGACATAGTTGATATAATGCTATGTGAAGAAAAAATGTAACGATAGATTTACGAATTATAAGTTTGTCTCCATGCAAGTGAAAAATGTCTCTGCCGACCAATCTTTTGACAACATGAAAGCTTTGGCCAACATAAAGACAAATTCTCTCTTTTATAGATTCAACTTTACAACCACTCTTTGCATTAATTATGATCGCAATCTCATTAAGAGGTCGGTGACCGGCTTTACATTTTTAACACTCGAATCTTCCTCTCTTCTTTGTTTGTATCTCAACGCAATTTTTTTTTATAAAAATCGATTTGGATATATAAATACATCTATATGTGTGTTTGTATAATTGTATATGTGAGTGAGGCTTCTATGTATATACATATCCTTTCGTGTCATTTTCAAAGGAGCCTTGGAGTTTGGCTTCACATGACGTATAACAAAGGCCAATAGTGTTGTTATTTTCATGTTGAATAAGATAAAACATTCATGTGCAACTTTCTTTTCCTAGCTATTTTCGGC